TAAACGCTGCAGAATATTGGAGCAAAATAAGAGATATTTATTTGTATTATTAGTAAAAGTAAACGGATTCACATTTTTAATAATTCAAATAATAATATTGCAAATTTCAGAAAAAGCAGACATAAGAGAAGCGAGAACAGTCTCCATTTCATTACAATGGAACGCGTAGATCTTCTGTTTCGAGCACTTTAAATTACTAACAGTACTCAGTATGAATCTGGTACGGTTTCAGCACACACGAAATTGCACCATGCATTTCAAATTTCTAACCGCGTCTTAAAATTTGCTTTTTTAGTATCTATTATTTATGTATCCTCTAGAACAAACAGACCGATTCTTCTTCATACAATTTTGAAGCATCTGCGTGGCATTTCATTTTCCATGAAATGGCTGGCGCGTGCACGTCGTTAACGCGCGCGGTTTCGCGTATCACGTTCGCTCCATACCTAATTACCGATAATTGCTCACTTCACGTATCGCCTCTAATAATTAAATAGTCGGTAATGTCTGCTCGTGGTTCGCACTCTCGAACCCCGTGCGTGCGGCTGCTGCCGAATTTGTTTGTCTCTTCGTGATTCATGACTACAACCAAATTTTGGTGTTTCCGATGCTCGTTCAATACATCGATTTCCTGTACGCTCTGCCGTATGATTTATGTGGCTACGCACGCCTGTCGCATACGTATCGTACATTCACGAATATGAGGGTCGTTTCGAAAATATGTAACTGAATACGATTGGTTGGAAGTGTCCTCAAATTAATATGTATCAGTGAAGTGGTAATGTAAAACGAAATGTGCGTTCATAATTCCTTTTCCAAATTAGTTTGTGTTAAATGATCACGTAACGAATAATTTTCTATTTTATTAATAAATTCCAAATAAGGTTTATTATATTATCTGTAGAAGATTGTTGATGATGACTTGATTTCGAAACATTTTTATATGACTACAAGAAAGAAATTGTTAATACATTATACTTCGTATTCTCCTTTTTTTTACTTTGAAATAAATTTTGCTAAACACGTGAAAAATACTAAATTAAATAGTTCTTCCAAATATTAAAATTTACAGTTACAAAATACAAGTTGTTCAACTGGAGGTTCGATTTTTAGAGAACTGGAATACCTAACTTATATTTAATCATTATCTGTTATTATTTCCATAAATCTTTTATGACTCGTAACAACAATTAAGCGTTTTTTTTTAAACTGCGATATAGTTAGACATTTGATTGCATGTAGTAAGAGTCTTCTCATGCTGAGCGAGCGATGGTGCGTGTGGACAGTGTGACTTTGTTCTCATGCACCTACACAAGCTTAGTTATTTGGCAGATCTTTTATTGGCAATAGCTGGATAAAGGGTGGGATCCGGTGGCCACGCAGACTCCGCCTCGGACCGTTCGGTTTTGAACTTTGGGTAGTGGCTTAGACTCTATTTTCATTAGAAGCGAACTGTCGTTTTGGCACATACCTTTGCTCGTTATGGCCAGAGAACGGTATGTTTGATGCTAAAGTGTTCCCCGTTTTAAAGCGTTTCATCGACACTCAGTAAATTGCAAGTCAATTTGCCAGACATTATTCGAAATTATAAGATGAAATAGTATTTCTTAAAAATTTAAATAAAACATAGAATCTAGAAGTCACGTATTGAATCATAATGATTTTTCATACACTTTTAATGACTTACCTTAATTTATCACAGAATTATTTCGATTCTTTGTGAATAATTCATTCTTAATATCGATAGATAACAGTGACATGTAATTTTCAATTTAATCCTGGTTCAGTAAATCCAAATTTCAAATGGAACGATGTTTCACCTACGTCTGAATAAGTAATATATGCACAAATGAAATGAGGGAACAACGTTTTCATCCGCGGATTCCTTCCGCGGTACAATATGAATGTAATTAAAGGGAAATTTCCTTGGGATTAGAGCCGATCGATACGCTGGTACTAAACAGACACGCGGGATTATATTTAATTCTTGCCGGTGTACGGCCGAACGGTTTGAATAGAAACGCATCGTGAATGCAGCCGGAAAGCTATATCCATTGCGGACTTTAATCTGTTTCTCAATACGAATCGCAGGCCGATAAATGCTTATATGGTAACTACCTATACATACATAATGTTCCATACATTTGTAACTCTTGCGAGCACTCGAATGTGGCTCATTTCTGAAAATTCAGCGAATTCCGT